ATTTTGTATTGTATTTACAATTTCCATAGCTGTTATAATCTGGTGGTGTTTTTTGTTTTTTTTTTTTTTTTTTTTAAATCAAAATTATAATAAAGGTACCCTTAATCTCCTGGCTAAAGATTAAAGGAAGACAAATGTATCAGTAAAGATCATCTAAACATAATAGTAATGTGCTCCTTTTAATATCTGGTCTTATTTTTTGGCCTTCTGAGAAAAATGTCTCCTAACAACACTGAACATTGCCATTTGCCCTCTAATAAGAAAGCTATTAGTCATAGACCCTAATATAATTGATTGTCCTTTTATTTTATAACTGTATAATGCAGTAGATATTATAAAAAAATTTTAAATTCCATATTGTTTACATCATGCAACAAGCTAAGCCTCAAATTCTTCACTGGGGCTATCAAGAAAATGTTTACTGACCCACCTGAAACAGTGCCAACCTGAAGGCAGGTTAAGAATGTTCTTAATCTCATTCTAGATAATTGCCCCTATGGGACTTGAAATACAACACCTTGTGCTGAAAACTTCAGGTTGGCAATATTTTGAAGGTTTCATCATAGAAGAGCTTAACATTAATTCCTGTTCTGAATTTTTGACAGATAAATCTGATTTCACTGCACTAATATTACTCTTTAGAATTAGTAGTCTAACACACATGAGTTTGAGATTTTCTTTTTTAGAAGAGAAACATCATCTTTCTGTATGAAAGTATAGATTTTATGGTTTCAGATACATCTTTGTGATAAATACTGACTAAGACAAGTGGAATCTTTGTACTTTTTAGGTTATTGCTGAATGTATGTTTTGTTTTAAATCTAATAAAATTAGGGACAGTAAACAGCTGACTGGGGTTCTTGAGTTGCTCCTTGAGAATAAAGATTATCAGTATTCCTATAAGGCAGGGGATTTCAGTCATAGAACAAGGATGTATTACTTCTTGTCACCTGAAAGGTTTACTGATATTTATTGTATATTTGGTATGTTGTTTAAAGGTGAAATTTGTTAAATTTTTTTGACTATCCTTGTCAAAGACGAGATCTCCTAGAAGGAAATTCTAGGTTAAATGTATTAGAGAGTGTAACGGCTACAGAAATAGATTTTTCTTGGTGATAAAATAGCTCAATTTGGCAAAAGTTTAAAATTTGATCAAAGAAAAGAACTAGTTCAGGATGAAGATGGACTAGTTAGGAAACTATAAAGTCCTCTTAATTATTTGTTTCTTTTTCAGGTTGTGCTATTGCCAACTCCAAGAGCTTTTGCTAAGAGTTTTATGTGTAATTTCTGTTTTGTCTTACTATAAACATTCATTTACAGCAAAGTTTTGAAACTAAGTCAGAAACAAACATATGGTTATTGCATATTAAACCTGGAATCAGTAATTACTTAAATATCTTACAGACCATTCATGTCTCAAAAATTTAAATGTCGTAATAGCCCTTTTGCAAACTTTATGAAGCAAAAGTTTATAGGATAAGTAGCAGGGGAGTGAAAAGCCTTCATTCTTAACCTGATAAAATAATTTATTACTGGAGACCAATACTAGCAGTACAGAATATTAAATAGCGATAGTGCTCAAGGAAATGGAATCTCTTCTTTTTCATTGGTACTGATACAATGTTTAGGTAGAAGGCAGTTGCACCTGAAGATGGAGTATGAATCATTTAGGCCAGTAGTTCTGAACTTTTGCTGTACTTTGGAGTCATGTCCATTTAAAAAAAAAACAATGATTCTTGAGTTCCATACCCTGAGATTCTGAGATGTTGGTCTGCACGTCTAGACCTGGCCATCAGGATTTTTAAAAACTTCCCTAGGTGATTTCAGTATGCTGCCAAGGTTGAGAACCACTGATATAAAAATTCACCTTAGATTTTCTCATCTGCAAAATAGAAAAAAAAATCCTTGCTCCCTCCCTTTACTCCACACAAGGCTGTTGAGGGTAAAGGAGAAAACAACGGGGAAGCACTTGTGCTATGGATAAAAGTGCTATTGAACAACCAAGTAGTGTATGTTGTATTTCAATTGAGATTACAATGAGTGAAAAAAATGTATATTTTAATTTGTCTTGATACAGGAAATCGAGAGCACTCTTTGGTTCTTAAATTTAGTGAAGCATGCAGATGTGGAAACAAACATGACTATGACTCATTCATACTCTGTTCTGTCATACTTGAGACAGGCTGTTTGAGTTATCTGGTTTTTACATAGGAAAGATATTAAGGCTTGAATCTGTAATGGTCAATGGCTCATAATTCATTAAAACTTTTTATACAAGGAATTCTGTGGTTAATACATGTAATTTCATAGTTGTCATTATATTTTCATTAGCTTACTTTTGAATGTTAAGCCATTTCATGTCCCTCATTCTTATTCAAATAAGTTTGGACTTAGATTTGGTGAAGCACTGAAAGTAAGTAAGTAGGTTTTGCCCGGTTGAATATTTAAAGTCATGGCTGAAGGATTAGGCATTTTCTTCATATAGAAGCTGTTACATTATAATTTAACTTGTAATTAAGTTCCCAAACTACTATTTATGTAGACAGTAGTATTAATATTTTATTTGTCATTTTAAGAAATTAACACTTTGAAGAGAGAAACTTAAGGGATTTGAAAGATTAGTGTTGAAAAGATTGCTTTTCAGAAATTGAGACCACAATCAGGACCACTTTGAAGCAAGTCTATACCCAGCTCAAATATGAAACTTCATAAAGCATTCCTCAGTTCTTCCAGCTGAATTTCTTCCTTGAAATTTGCCTATCTTCAAATTTTATCTCTACTTCTCCTACTGTATTACTTTATACCTTATATAAAATTATTTTTGTTTATTTGTGTCTTATTAACCCTAAACATCTTAGGATGATATCTCTAATGGACTCATGTCTAATACATAGGTGCTCACATTTCTGCTGAAGGAACAAATAAAGATCTATGTGGGAAGGAAAACACTCCTCTGAAGTTACAGGTGATAGTAGCAAAAGATAGATAAGAAAGAAATTCTGTGTCCTATTCCAAGGGAAACAGGAAGGAAAGGGATGCAAATCTGAGGCTAGTAAGGAAGAAATATTGTGTGTTTTGCATATAATGCACCCACACATAAGGTACTTAGTGCACACAGGAAACTAAAGGGCAAGGGGATGACACCGTTTGCAAAAAACCATATAATGTGTGTTACCTAAGAATACGATAGTTACTGTGAACACATTTCAGCCATTCCTCTTCATAAATATTGGTAAACTCTGATTTTTAGGTCATGGTGTAGGTTTCATATTTGTTTAGAATTAAAATTAGAATTCTGTATTTTAATTATTTTGAAATTCTATTGTTTTGCTTTAGTTTCTTAATAAAAGGTTAAATAAACAATTAACCACCTGTGATTGCCTATATTTTTAAAAAGGACCTTTTTTTTTTTTTTAGCACATTGGCCAGAAAGAAAATTGGAGTGCCTTATAGAGCAGTGCCTAAGACATTTCACTGCTAACCAGAAGGTGATTCAAACCTACCAGCCATTCCTTGGAAGGAAGATGGGGCAATCTACTTTTGTAACGATTTACTGCCTCAGAAACCCAAGGAGGGTTGTTATGATTCAGAATCAACTCAATGGCAGTGAGCTTTTTTGTGTTTTCAGTAGTCAAAGGTAGAATAGATCTTACCTATAAATTCATGGCTTTTAATAGCAAATTCCACATTTCCCATGTTTAGACTGGAAAGTGCACAGGGAATAGTCATTCACTGGGATCCTGTTCCCCAGTTGCCTCC